ACGTAGTACGGGTACGAGTAGGTAGGTAGGTAGGAGGAGGAGAGAGAGAGAGAGAGAGAGAGAGAGTAGTAGGAGAGAGAGTGAGAGAGAGAGAGAGAGAGAGAGAGAGGGAGGGGTTGTTTGGGACAGGAGTGAGAAAGAAAGGGAGGAAGGGAGGGGCTGTTAGGTCTCCCAAAGCTTTAGCCTTTAAGGAATTGGTACTCTTCACTCATGTTTCCTTTTTTGTGCAACTGAGCTTCTCTTATGGGTGTGTGTGTGTATGTGCACGCACGTGCATGCAGGTGCGCACACATTGTATATATTTATGAGTAACTGAGCTTCTTCTTGCAGCATGATCCTCTTGGCAATGCTTTTAAGTTAGTTGTTTCAATGTATAAGCTCGCTCGGTTGGGAGTAGTTTGCTTTGATTCGGGATCGGACTCGCTCGAGTCACTCAGACCTGGCAGGGTGCCAGTTCCGGATGACTAACCCCAAAAACAGGGCAAGTCTGATCCAAGCTAAAGATTTTCTTTATACTTTTATTGAGACTCTGCCAAGTTGGACTCTCAATTGGGCTTCGGACCCTAGCGGGTCCTCGACTGAGTTCAGGCTTTCCAACACTGCATAAAACTTTTGTCTGTCTTTTTTTCTTCTTTAGGTTGTGGACATGGGATTTGCATCAGATGTGCCCTCTATCTTTGCTCCACCAACAATAATACCTTCGATGTAGTGGGTCCACCTGGCTCCATACCCTGTCCTCTCTGCCGTAATGGAATCGTCGCCTTCTCGAGACTTCCTGGCTTCCCAGGAAAAGACCTCAAACTAAACCTCTCTCTAGGGCTTTGTACGCCATGTATGCTCCACTCTTGTGACCCTGAGCCACCTTCAACACTGGCTTCTTCTAAACCCGAATATCGAAAGAACAGGGTTGCCTCGGTTTCCTCAGAGCTCTTTTGTTCGGTTTCTTGTAGCCCTTTCCCGTCAGTTGCCATTCCTTCATGCACTTGTAATGATGACCCTTGTCCTTCTTTGGAAACTGATGAGAGAGAAAATCAAGAGAGAGAAACACAAGACCGGACATCAGAGACTCAAGGAAATGCTTCTTTGGCAGAGGAGGAGAAGATGGAAGGGGCGTGGATAGAGAAAACGAGCTGTTCAAAGATGTTTTGGAATAGAAGAAGCTGTCACAGAGAGCATCAGTGCACATCGGAGATAAATGCTTGACTGGTTTGAAGGAGAGAGCTGCTAATTCAATATGGTGTTGCTGGTTGAAAGGAACTAGGAACTAGGATACGTTGTTGGGTTTTTACCTGTTTCCATTTTTTCTCGTTTTCTTTCCCTTCACAGATGAAGAAAGTAGGCAGGACTCCAACCCATGTTCCAGTGGTTTCAAGTCACCACGGTTTCGCCACCTTCGGATTATTTAACAGAAATATGACACACAGGATAGGAATCTCTCTCTCTCTCTCTCTCTCTCTCAATTTGTGTTAATTGAGGAGTGCCGGCACTCACCGCTTGATGTACAGACTTGGTGTTGTAAGAGTAATTCTCCACGAGTAAATTTGAGGAATCGGATCAAAATGTTTTGAGTAGGCTTCATGGCCGCTGCATTCTCTTTTATAGGTTTGTGAATAATGTGATACCAGTGGTTCCCATAAAAAGAGTACCGTGTTTTTGTTTAGGGAAAGTATAGAATGAGACCATTTACCATGATACAAGGTGGTCACATTAATATCGACCATTGGATGTGAAATTGGGTGGCTGCAATTATTTAATTGACTAAGTTCAAACTTTAAAAGAAATTTTATCATATTTTGTGATACATCAAAGCTATCAAATTTCACATCAAATGATTGAAAAGAATTGTGCCACCATGTATAAAATGTAAATGGTCTCATTGTATACAATCCCGTTTGTTTAATGACTTTTGTTAATTTGGTTATGAATCTAGGCTAATTCAGTAGTCATGTATTTTGTATTTTAATTTTTATTTTTATTTTAAAAATCTAATTCATTTCAAATTTTGAGCATCTATTATTTAAAAATAGGTGAATTTAATCAAAATATTTAAAAAATAATTTATAGAATATAAATTGGTCAAAATATTCTTGAAAATTATAGTAGTATTTTTATTAATTTATTTTTTTATAAATACCTTTTTGGAAAATTGTAGATACCCCTTAAAGTAGGTTTTCTAGACAACCTATTTTCAATCAATTTTTTTTTTTTTAGCAACTTTTAGCGCAAAACCAAAATTTTAGAAAATACCTTCGAGTCAAAAAGTCATAATTTTAGACAAATGTACCTGTCATCTCCAAATCTCCCATGCCCCCACGCATTATCTCGTCTCTTGGTGCTGTGTTCACATATCTTGGTTCGGCATCTCAACATGACTTCCCACGGTCCGACACTCTAACCAAGGGGTATGGCAACTTGTTCAAATGGTCCGGCACATCCATGTCTCGGTCCGACAGTTGTGGCTTGATCAGTCTTCACATGGTCCGGCAATTTTTGCACTCGATCCGACACTTTTTCTCTCGGTTCGGCAATATTTGTTTCCAATCTGACACTATTCTAATTCAATTTGATATTTTCTAATATGCTTTATAAACAAGTATTGCTCACATTGATTTTACTTGCACTTCTATGTCTCCATCTAGCCATCTCCAAATAATTGAGATAAAGTTTGGATGATGATAACTTTCATTTCTCTATTTGCCCTTTTAAATTTTTGTTTCTATTATGTTGTTTATATATATATATATATATATATATATAACTTCTCATTTCTAAAGAAAGTTTTCAGCCTCTGCATTTTTCTTTCGTTTTTGTAATCTTTTAAGGAGTGACCTTCCCTTTTTTCAAAGTTTCTAATTGGTTTTTTGTCACATTGCTTGCCTTTGTTTCTTAGCATCTTGTGCTCTTCATTTCTCCATATTTTTGGACAGGTACTAGCTTACAAGCTAGTCCCATTTACAGTTTCTAGGGCTCTTTCTCTCTTGTCTAAATAACATCAAACCCCAACTCTTCAAAGCAGTCTTTCAAAAAATCCCAAATCGCACCCCGGTCACATCAGAACCTAGCGACTCTGGATGAAAAAGCACCAGAATCACTTTAGTTTCCTGTTTTTCTATTTTTTTCCTTTCAAAGTTGTTTTTACTCGTGACCGCTGAGTCACATTGGGGTAGGGTGTGGCAACGGATTTGACCAGACCTAGGACTCGACAAGTAGACCCGACCAGAATTATACAGGCCTATGTCGGTATTCATTAATATTGCCACTACGTTTGCTTTTTAGGAATTTTCAGTTATTACATCATGCACTAAGGAATATGGGTATATATGGGTATTCATAAATGTTGTGCAAGAGTGTAAATGTTGTCAATAACGTGTAATATAGGAATATGATGGTTTAAAAAGGACAAAAAAAAAAAGACTCATAATCATAGGGTGGCAATAGAGTCGACCAGACTCGGGACCTGACGGGTGGACCCGACCTCGGGTCCAGGTCCAGCCGGACTCGACTAGTGCCAGTAGGAGCCTGATTCCAAAATTTGAAACTCTGCTACGATGCATGTTGGCTCTTCCAAGCTAAATTTGGCAGCCAAAAACCAACCACCATAAAATTTGACAGTTGAGCATATTAATATAAAATACGCCAAACAATTATGAGAGTGGTACAGCAGACGGGGTATCCGGAGATGAAGCATAGTTATGGGCCAATGCCTAAGGTGGGAATTCCGGTTCATCTCCATAGCAAACAATTGAGAATGGACAGTCGATGTTCTTCCTCTGTGTTACGCATATTAGAGTGATTTACGTATGGATCTTAAAATTTTGGATAAAATACAAAGTGCCCAACTAATAAAAAAATTAAAATTTGGGTTGAACGAAAGGTAATTTTGAAAAAATAAAAAATAAAAAAAAAAAAAATGTGGGTTGAGTGACTTTCGTAATTTCTACATGAAACAATTCATATTTTACCTAAAATTTTAGGATCTGTACGTAAATGGTGTGCATCAAGGGAAGCAATTATAGATGTCTCCTGAATCCTGATGCACCCAACATCCATCATAGAGATGGATGTAAGAAGGTGTTGGTCCCACTATAACCCACAAAACCATAATCTGAAAACCGCATCAAAAAATATTATTTTATTTTTAAATAGATTTTGGAGGGAGGAGTAATATGTAGATCAGTCGGCAGACTCATAAAAACCTTGTCCCTCATATCATGGATTTCCCATTGTTTATAATTGGAATTAGGTGAGCCATCACCATTCCAACTTTGCACTCTAAGACAAACTTCATCAAAATTTAACTCTACATTTAAGTGGTGAAGTTCTGGTGGACCCCTTAAAAAGTTTTTCAATATAATATGGCGCATGTAAATTTCAAGCGTAAGTTTGAGCACGTACAAGGTGGTCCCACAAGTCCAATCGAGCTTTTAGACTCGCACCCAAAACACGGTCTAGGGGAATTTTTTTGAACTAAATTGTCAATTTCAATAAGATAGGTCTTGATTTTGTGTACAAGTCCCCAAATCCACTTCCATTAATCGATTTTCACTTCAAAGCTCTGAGTCCCATCTTTCCTTTCACAAAGTTGGGAAGCCGCTCTACCATGGAACGAACAACGAACGTGGGGTTCCTTAAAACATCAATTATCGTGTACATAACAAACACATGAGTGCTACACAGCATCCTCGAAACAAACACATTCAAGATGTCATATTGTAGCACCTTGTTATGAAGGGCCCAAGCCTAGATTGAATCTGGTAGGGCATTCTTATTTAAAGGCATCCAAAATCCTTTTTTTGAGAATAAAAAAAAAAAAAGAAAGAAAAAAGAACTAAAGACGATCAATATCTAATTTTGGGTGCTTCACCACTCGCCAAAACAATTTGGATCGGCAGGACCACTTAGATTGGATGGAATACTTAGACTAAGGCTGGGCTGTCTCATCATTTTCAGGCGTGAGCTCGGACACTATCACCGGGATTCCGACTGAACAATGGACAGCTCTTTATTTATAAGAAAGGCAGAAAGAAATAAGAGCTAGCTATAATCTGGACCTCCACCTCTGGCCATAGATGTGTGAAAGTCATTGTGCTAACATACATCCATTTTCTTGCTTGCACTAAATGATTTGCTTTTTTACGCAGTAGTTTTCTTCGCATTGCATCTTCTTGTTTTCTTCGCTTCTAAAATGAGGGCTAACCCATTCAATCGTCCCTCCACGAAATCCTTGGTGACCAAGGACCTTCTGTTTGACCACGACTGGGGCGGGTAGAGAGAATGAATCCGATACTTACCAATTAAGAAAATCAGATACGAGAAAAAGAGATGGCAGCTAACAGCTATAATACAGAGGGAGAGAGGGCGGGGGGGGGGGCGTGATTTACATGTAATTTGGCTTTTGAACCGACCGGTCACCCATCACACACCCAAGAAAAGCTCTGAACCAGATCACCGAAAGCAACCTCGAAGAGAGAGAGAGAGAGAGAGAGTTTTGCTTGAAGCCCACTTGTTGTCAATCAAAAAGGAGTGAAGAGAGCCAGATCAATGAAAGCGGCATCCAGAAAGGTGAAGGACTCCCCCTCCACCATTCCATTCGTAAATAAAGGCATATAATAACTCACCACTTTCTGCCCCCCACCTTCCCTAATGGCAAAGGCTAAATGACCCCACCCTTGCACCAACCATATTTACACTGCTGCCATCTTGTGATCCAACAAATTTAAAGGAGAAGCCCTTTTTTTGTCCCTTTTCAATTCTCTATCACCATAACCACCTCCGTAAATAAAAGAATTACATTAGTATATGGACCCCAAAATGAACCCAAAAAAGAGAACAAAAATAATAACAATACCAAACACCAACTCCCTCTAAACCCGTCCGCCCGCCGCCATCATCAGGCCAACAAACCTCCTTATCAAAGGAACGAGTGAATGACAAATTAGAGAACCCATATTCTCAAAATCATCTGTTACTTCTACAAATGCATAGGGGCCAAATTACAGCCACCCCAACTCTCATGGGTCTTCAGTGTTCTTTTGAACAATCTCAAAATGGCTGCTGCCACCCCACTTTCCCCCTTTTTGGTATTCTTCCTTTTCGAACACCAATTTTACAAGGGTGGCCACACGGCACTGAGTTTCTTGTGTTTCTTGTCCTTCTTACACAGATTTCACATGGGTCTTTGCCACTCAAATATCCATGTGCAATTGCCAGGAAAGCTCAATCCCAAGTGGAGAGAGACAAGTCATGCACCAAAAATCCCGTCTTTTCCACAGCCAAACACTCATAGACGGACCGGCAACCCATAGTTGTGGAATGATCTGATCCGTCCATCCCATCCAGCTGTCACAATCACAAGGCCCCACGTATGAGGGGAAGCAAACATTCCCTCACTGGCAGTCTTAAGAAACTTGAACTGCGATTTACAAGTGCTTTGGGCCGAGCTCAAAGCATCAGTAGAGGGAAGCTTCTCCTCAGGCCAAGTGGCTGAGCCCCTTGCAAGGCTATCCGCAAAGAACCCATGACCTAGAGAGAAGCGATCAGGAGAAGAGGAAGAAACTGAAGGAGTCTCTCGACAAGAATCCCAACTACTATGGAAACCATTTTCCGAGCTCTCTGTTAATTCATCGGAGGTTCGAGAATTGGTCTTGAGAGAAACTTCTGAAGATGGCCGTGCCTCTGATTTTAGGCCAGACCAAGTGATGGCAACAGAGGAATTATTCGAGAAAAATCGCTCACAAGACCACACACTCTTTGCTTGTTTCGATGTTCGCCCCTCGGGGGTCTCGTAACTCCAAACATAGACATGGGAGTCTTCACTTGCGGAGACAATGTGCTTCCCATTAGAAGTGAAGGAAGCCGAGATCTGGCTGCCTGTATTCCTTAGACCTGAAAGTAAATAAACATTTAGAACAAGAGATGTTTAGGCAACTATTTGATAACATGCAGGTGTGTTACTTGAAAGCTGAGATTGTGGGAAATAACAAGTAAAAAAACAGGGTCAAAAATAAATAAAAGGAAGAAACGGATGGCATGAAAAATATGAAAAATTTAAGGTAAAATACACAACCAGAAAAGGCAAATTGAATACACATGAAGGGAAAGTGTCCTATTCCATTGGAGTTATGAATGACCAATGACATGCTTATGATGGGATACAATGTAACCAACCAGATTAGGACAAAACCCAAATTGAGGGTCTCACCCTATTTCCCTCCCAACCCAGACATGACCCAGATAGACTGGGCTTTCCATGGTCTATAGGACAATAATACATGCCTCTTGCTCGAGGTAAGGCAGGTTTATACTAGGGCGATTTGAACCCCCGACATCTCCTACAAAGTGGGTCTCTCACTGATAAGACGTAGACCAACACCTAGTTGAGAACTACATTATACTTTCCTATTTATGAAACCTACAACAAAAGGAGAAAAGGTATTTTATTTCATCTTAGATGTTGGAACCGCCATTATCAAGAGAAAAACTTATCTTCATTAATTCACAATCAAGGGCATATTATTTGAATGGGAGAAAAAATGAGATGTTTCGAAAAATTCTTATTACTTGTGGTATTGAAAAGCAATACAGACAGGATATTTGAGTCCGTCACCAAGATTGCCAGAGACAAGCATAGTGGGGAATATAATCGAGAAAAATCAAGTTCCAATCTCACAACAAACTATTCATATATAGTAATATGTTTAAACATTTCGAAAAGCACTTGAAGTGACTACCTTTGTATTTGCAGATGACATCCACCCCATCAAAAATTCGAACTTGTGAGTCCGCAGATGTAACCATTACTTTTCTGGGATCACTAGGGGCAAACTGAAGAAAATAGGGATCAGTCAACAAGAATCCACGGAGATTTGTCCAGGGAGATAAAGAAATAAAAGAACAGCTGACACTTGAATACAGAATCAGCCCAGAAGCCAATGCTAAATATGTTTTAGATTTCAGTTGATCCTCCTTTTTCTAATTATGCAATACTTTTTTTGACACAGACCAAAATCCAATGCGAAATACTTTCAAGATTCCAGTTGATCTTCCCATTTTCCAATCATATAACACTTCTGGTGGAGTTTGAACATAAATCGATACATTGGGGCCCCACGGAAAAAACACTTTTAAAAGCTCAACATTTGAACCATTGGCAATGCATGAGACTTGTTACCTGAAATCCAGTTATCCTTTTGCAAGAGGATTTCTTTTTCCCCTGTAGACATACTTGAGCTGCCAGTAGCAGATGATTATCTGAACCAAGGCAAATAGAGTCTTAATTAGCTGCTATAATGCTACAAATACTTACTAAATAAAACTAGGAACTCAGGATCACAAATTTTAACAGGTGTGTCAAATTTAAATATTCACATTGAAACATATGTTTATAGCACTATCAGTTTTTACTGTTAACCAATGCATTATGCTGTAATGCTAATGTATATGATGGAAAATCAGGAATAGGGTCCAAACAAATATCCCATGGAAAATCTGCTTCTTGACCAATAATTTGAAACCCCACACTAAGTGACAAAAACAAACACAACTACATCACAGGAACATAAGTTCACGCTGCACAAATGTTTGTTTTACGTGTGGTTTTATCTTTAGATACCATTTCATTCTGACAATTAGAATCATAATTCACTTACATTGGTTTAATATTTCCCATTTATGCTCCCTAACTGAAATGGAAGTTCAAATGTGCAATCGAGTTCAAGCAACATCCATCTCATTCAGTGTAAAAAGAAAAGCAACAAGCTTTAGGATTTGGGCCTTCGACCTTTGGTGGCTGGGTCCATAAAGGGGCTATATCATGGCATCCCAGGTTCAAATCTCATAGCGGACTGACCCCCAGAAAGTATTTCACATACTGAAAAAATAACACCTTTTGTTGATGGAATCAGGCCTTCAAGGCCAATAATAAGGCATTTTTCCTTACTTTTATGTTTTTTACATAAGACTCTAGCCTGGGATTGGACCATAGATGTTTTGCACATACAAAGGGATAGCATGCGCTATCGGCGCGCCACCCAGATGTATGCTTTTCCTTACTATGTAATGCACTCTTAGAAAAGTGAAGAGACACAAAATTCTTCCCAAACCATCTCCAAACAAAATTCTTCCTAAGCCCTCTCGAATCACTTCTGAATCAGCATGACTTGCAATAAGGAAGCGGCAGATACACTTCGGACATATCTTCCAAGGGTTTATCTACGCATATGATACAACTTGATATGACAAAATAAACCAACTGAAGCAAGGGATAACATATCAATGGAGGAAGTGGTGATACACATTAATAATATCAAAAAATCCATCGCCAAGAGATACAGAACTCCACTCTTAAGAATATACTAGAAGTTCAGAACTAGGAACGGAGAAAATAATAGACGACAATCCACAGTTTATCTCCCATACTTGAACACAGGGTGAAGCAAGGTGGCAGCAAATAATGTTCGAATATACTTTAATGGCATTTTTTAAAGGAATGCCCTTTAATTAAACTCCAGTCAATAATTACTAAAAACAAACAATGCAAATGACTCACTAGCAATGCATTAAGTTCCAGGAAAGCTTGCTCTCTCTCCTAAGCCGAAGACTAGGCAAGTAATCAGCTAAAAAAATTAGCTTTAGTAGGAAATTGGTAAATATCAAACTTCCACAAATTCCTCATCTGATCCTGGATCTTCACAAATAACGCCATCTATTCTCCAGGAAAAATTAAAAAAACACTAATCCATCTTATAAATTTTAAGAAATAAAAAATATGGAAAAAAGAGAGAAAGAAATCATTTTCAATGACAATGGGATTCTCCCAAAATTTTGCCCAGTTCTTGATCCCCACAAGGGCTAACATTGGTTTCAGCACAAGTGGAATCACATGTTCCCAGTGGTCCCACAAAGCACTAAATAAAGTCACCTCCTTTATGAATGATATCCCACTAAACATGTCCATCAAAATTTTGTTCTAGATCAGGTGATCCATTCTATAATGCTTCTGGACATGTTTTATGCAATGCATTAGGGTGAAGTAGAAGACATGACTTCTCCTTAAATATATCCCCAACCATCCAAAAGACAATACAAAAATAATAACTAATTCGACCTCTTATATGCACTCCAAAAGCAAAAAAACGAAATCCATAGAAGCACAAGATATACTCATATCATTAAAGACCCCTCAAACACTCCAGAGTTACAAAAAATTATCTAGAACACATTAACAGAAGAATGTAAGATATCAAATTATCAGTTAAAAGAGAAAAGAGGAGACAGAAAGGTCTACCACAACAAATGATATGGAAAAATTATCCATTGCATATTTTTGTAACAACATTAGTATAAAATGCAAGGCAGTGTAGATAAGCATGGAACCACATCTAAACACTAGTGTCCAGAACATAATGCCCCATAACAAATCATGCATAAAATCATATAAATGCTCATAATTAAGGAGCACTTCAAAAAGATTCAAAGTTTAACCCAATTAAAAGGAAATTAGATTTACAAGTAGCAAAGATACCTGATGCATCATAGAAACGGCAATTACCAGCCATGGAACCCACAATTCCTCCCTGATCAATTAGTATCAATATCAGTGATCAATTACAATAAATATCAGTATGACCAACTATATGTGTATGTATGCGTGTATGTTGATATGTATCTAGATACATGCATATCTGAGTGGCAATAAGAAGGGCCAAAAGATATTTATCAAAAAAAAAAGGAAGGGCCAAACAACTATACATACAATACATTAAAGTGCGATTTAACATCCATATCCACAGATCAACAAGAGCAATTAAATTTACCTGACCATCAGGCCGGTAGCAAACAGCTGTAACTATTTCTCGTATATCTGTCCAATCAACAACTTGGCACCCAGGAATGGCCCAAATGCGGACTTTACCGTCAATTGAACCACTGATGAAATATCGATCATCCACAGGATTGAACTGAATGGATGTGACTGCATCACAATAAATTCAAATAAAAGGTAATGAGAAATATGACTCCACAAACTTGTAAGGAAACTTCAGAAGAGGCAACAATTTCTTGATCAAAATAGTAGAGATTACTAACCATAATTGTTATGGGAGAAAACCTTGATGCATGAAGCTTTCCCCACTTGCCATAGACGGACAGTTTTATCCGTGGATGATGAAAGTAGGTACTACATCAAGTATTACAAGTGACATCAGGATAAGTTTTCCAGGTGGGTTGAAAATAAAGAATAATACTTCACAATCTCTCAAGCACAATCAAAACCATTTTTCAATTTCAGAAAGCACAAGAATGCCCTCATTTTGGAAAGAACTGGAAAAAATTAGGCTACATGTGTGTGCACATATATGTATGTATCTCATTTTATCTAAAAAAAATATGGCTGAATTCTCAACTTGTCACAGGATGTTAGATAACGGTTCTATTTTTTTCTGAACTGTAGCTGAAATTTGGCACCGAATCCCAAGTTTCTAATATCGAACAGAACATTAGAAAAAATAGCACAACTTTCCGAATCAATAGCCAGAAAATACTCTACACTTAGTTTGAAATAGCACCAACTGAAATCGGGAAGAAAGAAGAGCTTCTACGTTAGAAACTGACCTTAGTCTGAGACCATGACAAGTCCAGCACATCTCCAGTGTGACCATGGAATTCATGCAATGGTTTCTCTGACAATTTGAAGATTTTGTGAGGAATCACTACACAAGCAGATCCCGAACTCTTCCTCAAGCCCCTGAACCTCCCCTCTTGCTCCTTGTTAGCATAAAGAGGAACCAGTTCAGATGACTCATTCACAGTGAAATACCGGCAAGAACGATCAATCTCCAGGGTATCCCCCAACTCTGTACCTGCTGATTCCATAACCTCCCAAATCCTCACAACGCCATCTTCACCTCCACTAGCAAGAAAACGCCCATCTAAACTGAACTTCATAGTCCATATAGAGCCATGGTGAGCTTGAATCTCTTGCCCCAGGTAAACAGCAGTGAACTCCTTGCACCGCTTTTTACAATGGCGGACTCTCACTCTCTGAGGCATTTGGTGAATTGGGTTCACAGAATTTGATGACCCAACAATATTCTCAGAATTACATGACCTGCTGGAACTACCACCCCCTTTCTTCCTCTTCACAATGCTTGCTGCTGCTCTCAAGCTTCTCAACCAGCCCTTCTTTCTCTTCAAACCCTCTATAGAAATGCCAGACTCTACAAGATCTCGTCGCATGAAATGTTGCACTAATGGAGAGAGCCCAATATCTCTCTGAAATTCATCAATGGTGACCAAACGATCAGAACCCACTCTTCTCAGCCTGCTTAAAACCCCATCGCCACTTGGGTTATCGATGACGAATTCAGTGCCATTATCCAAGTTTCTTATTCTGCAAACCATGTTTTCTCTATCATCATCAATTGAATTTATCTCTTCCAAATCCCTACTGTCAGGAGAATCAACTGGTCCATTGGACCAACTCATGAGAGAAGATCTACTAGATGAGAAATTGCTTTCAAAATCAGAGCTCATTAGAACTGCCCCACTGTTATCTTTTAACCTTTCAACGCCTGGAATTTCCCCATTTTCACTGGATGAATCAAGGGTCTCACCATTCCGAGCTAAACCCATCATTCTGAGAAATTTTTCACGCCGTTCTCGAATAGTCCCTGGCTTATTCAACCAAACTTCGTAGAGAATATTACCATAAATCAATTCAGAAAACCCGCTGTGATTCTCGGTGGCCTCTGCATAGTCCGACCCCGAGTCGGATAATGAAGTTATTTCCTCTCGAGTGTCGAAGAAGTGATCTTCTTCTTCGTCGCTGCAACTTCCCATTACTCTTCAATCCAAGCCACCAAAATCCAATAAAGACACCATCGTTCCACACCCTTAAGCCTGCCCTAGAAATGACCAAACCCACCAGAGAAAACCATGGTTTCAGGTCTCAAAACGCCCTACAAAAGAGCAGAATATAAGAGGAGAAACCCAAATTCATCTGTATCTCAATCCCAAGGGTCAAAAGGAATTTTCCCTCGATTCCTTCTCCTATCTACCAATAAAGATCATTTAATCCAATTTTTTCAAAGACATTGTTTTTGTCAAAAAAATCTGTAAATCACAAAATATATGGGAACCAGAGAAATCGGAGAGTAGACGAAAGAGCCCAACAATTTATGAAGAAGAAACAAACTTCAAAGCTATGAGAACAGAAACCACAGGATTAGGGTTCCTGAGTGGCGAATTTCTAACATGGGGTTCCCACTAATAGCGAAACCAACAAAAAGGAAAAAGTCAACTCATCCACCAACACCAGAAGAAGCCCCCAATATTCCCACCCATTAACGATGAACCCCAAAAAGCCATCAAAGCATAGATCACACGGAACAAAGAGGGGACTTCTGGTTCGGCAATTGATTAAAAACAAGCCAAACCAATCCCCCCCCAAAACAAAGACAGCACTCACAACCCCAACCCAGATGCAACGCAGCAGACTCTAAAAACCCATGGGAACAGGGGCCATGAAGGGGCCTTTGTTGGGCAATTGCGTACCTAGGGTTTCCATAAACGGCAAAAACGAGTTGAGCGCCATTAAAGGGCCCAAGAACCTTTTATCCAATTGTCAAATTTTAGGATTTTTGTAAGCAAATCGCACCAAATTCTCCGAATTACGAATGCAACTTTTGAGCTGGGATGATGAGCTCTCTCTCCCCGCTCAGAAGAAGATTTAACCCGAAGAAATAAAAATAAAACCAATAAATAATCAGCAAAAAAGAGATAGAGAGAGAAGAAACCAGTAATCAACAATTTAAAGGAGCGAGAAAAAGCCTCGAGATTCGAGAAGAATTGGCCCGAATAACGAGGCTTTCTTAGAGAGAGAAAAATAGGTCTTAGGGTGGGAAAATAAAGAGCCTTAGAGAGAGAGAAAGAAGCAGAGCTGTTTTTAGAGAGAAAAAGAGAGGGGTGCGACTCTCACTCTGCAAATACCGTCATTCTGATCCAATCCCTGCAATACTCCGTTACTGTTGAAAACGACGGCATAAAGCAAAATAATAATAAGAAAGAGATTGAGAGAGAGAGAGAGAGAGAGAGGATTTAGAGAGATAAAATTTTGAAACCCTGATTTTGACGAGTCTCCTTTTTTATCACAGGATTCTTTCCTGTTCTCCTTTCTCTCTCTTCATTTCCCTAAAAACCCCGTTTTTGCTTCCCCTAAATTTACAACGACCATCTTTTAGAGAGAGAATTATAAAACCAACATTTTCTTGAGAGAGAGTTATAAAACCCTAATTTTTATATAGTTTCCACTTTCCATTTGATTACAAGACCCTTTCCTATTCAGCTTTCCATTTTTTAGAGAGAGAGAAACAATTATAACACCCCATTTTTACGTTGTTCCATTTTGATCACAGGATTCTTTCCTGTTTTTATTCTCTCTCTCCTTAATTTGTACAGGTTTTTTTCACTAAGTTTCCCTCTTCTGTACAAGGGGTAAAATTGGGAAAAAAACTCGTTTTATGGTTTCTTTACCACTCCAGTCCAAGAGATTCGACTCTCGCCACGCGCGAGGGGTACATTATGTTCCAAAAATGCCCTTAAGTGTTGTTTAAAATTTCTGGGTATTTTTGGGTTTTTTAATTTACTTATGTGGGGGTAAAAATGACGTGTTTTCTTTTACCTGTCCAGTCCAAATGCTCGGATCCTAGCCGTGCGGGGAGGGATACTGTTACAGGAAATATTCCGAAAATGCCCTTTGTAATGTTTTGTATTCCCATTATCAACTAGGTGCAAGAGAAATTTATAATGAAAAATTTATTAAAATAACTTGAAGTTTTAACCGGTCATTTAAAAAAGCGAAGCGGATCGGTGACTTGGATCGGGCACGCCAACAATCAGTCCGGAGCAGTGAATTTGAGGTGCGGATCGCCATTTTATTGTGCATAAAAACAATTAACTGAAGAAAAAACATGTGAAAAAATAGTGAACGTACCAAACATCAGTTCGGATCGATAAATCGTTGGTTTGGATCAACGAATCGGTGGTCTGGATCAGTGTTTTATTGTGCAGAAGTCCTGATTCTTTTCTAGGCTCGACAGTTTTCTTAAATATATGCAAAACCATAATGGGATAACCGATTATTGGGTTGGATGAGATAATTTCGTGCTGACCCAACATTTTTAAAATCATTGTTTTAACTTGTTCACAAGTGAGATTGTGCCTTTCAAGTTTTTCAAATGTTATAGATATACTCAATCTACACTATTTTTAAGTTCTAATTTTTACAATTAGAGATGAAAATAGATTATTTTAAGGACTTACGACAACAAAATTATACTTCTAACGAAGTTTAGAGATGCTTTTACTTTGATGGTTTAAGGTTAACTTATGCGAAACCAAGCCCCTCAAATTATCAACTATTTTATATTGGGATTGTATATAATGAGATTATTTACTTTTGGTACAAGGATGTCACAATTATTTATAACCACCCGATGGTTTGGACATGTCATAAAGTTCGATGAATTTCTTTTGAACTTTGAGCTTGGTCAACAAAATAAATGCAGCTACCCAATTTCACATCCAATAATAATGATTAATTGTGACCATCTTGTACCAAAGATAAATGATCTCATTATATGTTTCACATCCAATAATAAAGAGTAATTGTAACCATCTTGTACCAAAAGTAAATGATAACGTTATATATATTTTTTTTCAAAATTTAATCATTTTTATAATTACGCATGTTTTGATTAGGAGTTGGTCGGAGGCTTCCACCCTAGATTTGGAGGCTTCCGCCCTAGATTTGTAGAGCTCAATTAAGATGATGGGTCAAGCCCTAAACTTATTAACTATTTCATATTTTAACCATTTTGACCCACGATTATCCATATTTAGATTAGGAGTTGGTCGGGTCGGGTTGAGCCCGAGCATGGCCTGACTCTGCGAGCTTGGGCCGGGTTGATCGAGTCGAATAATATTTTAGCAGATTTTGCCTTGAACTGGTGGATAACTCTGAAGTGTCGGACTACCGATCTGGACTAAGCCAATTTATGACTATGCTAAAAAAGCTATACCATAACCATGGCTGACCACGGACTTAGCTTGCCTTTAAGTTTCGGGCGCAGGGCAGTCCAATTAGAAAATGCTTACAGACCAAGCCCGTTGGTAACCCTAACACTTAGAAAATGCTTACCAACCCTACCCGTTGGTAACCCTAACACGGCTAAAATTGGTAATATCATAAACAAAAAATGTCAAAAAAATAAAAGTGTGTTGAATTTTTACCTCTCCTTTCTGAAAATGGCTTTTCATGATGTTGGACTGCTCAAGTATAACCAGTAAGGGTGTAGTTTGTACAGGGTTGACGCCTTAACCAATCAAAGTTAGACGCACCTTCAAATAGTGTCGAAATATGTTATTTCGGTATCATAAATTTTTGTGATTGCCTAAAAAAATATTTTTATGTTTAATTATAAAATATTAAAATTAAAAATAGTGTAGATCGAGTAAATATATAAATACTTGAAATTTGACGGTCTAGATAATACACTACAATATGCACTATTTCTAAACTTCATATCTATTTTTTCTCATAGCCATACATTTTGGTGTCGAAATGATCAAATCAAGGGTTTTTTTAGCATCGGAACCATTGCTTCAAGTGAATTTTTTAGGTTCGCCCTAATTTGATTGTGCAGGTTTCACCTTATATAAATTTGTCCTTTTCAAATTAGTAATGAGCTTTTTTTACTTCTTTATTTTAAAATAGGAAAAAAATTATATAAGGTGAAACCCTGAACAATCGAATTCGGGCGAACCTCAAAAATTCACTTGAAGCAATTGTTTCGATACTAAAAAAAAGCCTTTGAAAAAAACCTCTAATTGATCATCTCAACATCGATATGTATGAATAAGAAGAAAAAAAAAAGAATTTCAGTCTTAGAAATAGTGCATCTTGCAACACATGATCTAGACCATCTATTTTCAAAATTTTCATATGTTTGTTGATGTACTTGATTTTAAATTTTTTTTTAGTTTATATTTTATAATTAGATATAAAAATAGATTTTCAAATAATCCTAAAAAAAATTATCGAAAAATTACATGTTACGATAAAATTAAAAAAAGTGCACTGTAATTGGATTGTTTAAGGTTGCATGAAACCGCACCATTTGAAAAAACAAAAAAAAGAAAAGAGTTTTAATTTTGTGAAAATCGTTTTCATTGTCGGAGAAAGAAACAAAAATCGGGCGTGATTTGTGCAAAGTCGCATCTCAATGGAAATTGTTGCCAAATTTACCAAAACACCCTTGCTTTCGTACGGTCCCAATCGAGGCACGAGGTCGTTGCAAAATAAAAAAGTAATAATATTAAAATAAGAAAAATAGTTTATTTGAGTTTGCAACCTTAAAGTAATAATATTAAAATAAAAAAAAAAGTTTATATGGGTTTGCAACCGGGAAATGTAGAATGTTAGAAAGCCTTCTAATCGATCATCTCGACATCAAGATGTATGAATATTAAAAAAAAAAAAAAAGATTTTGAATCCTATAAATAATGCATCGTGCAACACATTTTCTAGACCATCAATTTTTCAATATTTTCATATATTTATAGATTTACTTGATTTTGACTATTTTTGGAATTTAAATTTTGTAATTAGATATGAAAATAGATTTTGAGAAAATCCTAAGAATTTTTTACACCAAAATTACATAATAAAATTACAAACTTATAGGGAAAATTACAAAAAAAAAAAAGCCAATACCACATTTTCTATGCAACTTACCCCCCACCTAATGTTTTTTCTCATTTTTTTCTCCAAAATAAACTTTCTATGCAAATACCTCCCTAGGAAAAAAAGTTAATTTTTTTCGATGGAAATGCCCTTCCCGTACACAAAAAGTCGTTGACTTTTGGACCCCAGTAGCACATTGCTAGAGCGCACCATCACATTGCCAGAGCGCATAAGTGCCCGACTGTCTTAAGACAACTATCGGACCAAAATTGAGTGCCAGAGCGCATAAGTGCCCGACTGTCTTAAGACAACTATCAGACCAAAATTGAGTACTATCGGACCGCGGTTTACATAGTGCCAGAGCCTTGGAATAACATCTACTACCGAACTGACCTTTGCAACTGTCGGATTACCATTTGCAACTGCCGGACCGCACTTAACACAATGCCGGAGCACTTCTGACGGACCACACTTTACACAGTGCTGGAGCCCTACTGCCGAACCGCACTTACATGTGTTGGAGCCCTTATTTTGGTAGGATAGAGGAGAGAGAGTAATGGGTAAAGTAAAAATAAAGAAGGGTAATTTAGGTATTTTTTTTTTTATTTGGTTGGGGTATTTTCATAAAAAGTGTATTTTAGGGAAAAAAGTGAGAGAGAAAGGTAGGTTGGGGGTAAGTTGCATAGAAAGTGTAATCTTGGGTTTTTTTTTGTAATTTTCTCAATAATTAATCAAGTTTAAATTAAGGTATAATTATATAAAATATAAAGGGTGTGGTTTGTAAAGAGCCTAGGCTCTAAACAATCAAATTAAAGCCTACCTTCAAATAGTGCCGAGATATGTGGTTTCAATATTGGAAATTTTTTTGATAGCCTTAAAATATTTTTTCACCTTTATTGATAAAGTTTAAAGCTTCAAAATTAGTGTAGATTGAGAAATCTATGAAAGCTTAAAATTTTGAAATTTGACGGTCCAAAAATGCACTTCAAAACACACTATTTTCTAAACTTGAAATCCATTTTTTTTCTCATGTCTATGCATCTTGATTTCGAGATGAAAAATTGATGATATTTGGGCATCAAAACAACCTCTTTTAGTGAAATTTTTTAATTAGGCTCTAATTTGATTGTTTATAGCCTCGGCTCTATATAAACTTTTCCAAAATATAAATATTAATTAAAATAATTAATCATGTTTTTA